AAATCGACAAAAAGTATCTGTACAGATAAAAAAATAAAGAAAATATATAAAAATAACAAACATAATATCAAAACAAAAAAATAATCGAACCCTATCAGTTAATATATGACAACAATTACATGTATTGAATTGAATTGAATAGAAAATTAAATAGACATAAAAATTAATTTTCTAAAAATTAAGGGTCACAATATACATATGCGCTGAAATGTGTCAATCCTTTATTAATACCATGAGTGTAAACTTTTGAAAAAAAAAAGCAAATTTATAATTTTTTTATGCTATCTCATAAATGTTTCTGGACGGATTTATTGAATATTTTAAACCTTAAGTTACGAAACACTGGCGTCAATAAGCGTTTTTTTCGAAAACGGTCGCGGCAAAAATTTTCTGTCCTTTCCCAATAGTTTTTTCGGTGTATCGTTCATATTAAGGTTTAGAAATTTTTATTATTATTAAAAAATAATTACTTTTAAACATATATTATTTATTTTCTGATTGATTTATACAAATTTATATTATAAAATTATTATATTCATAGGTAATTGTTGGTGCAATATTCTTGATCGTTGGAGGATTGGACATAAAAAAAGAAAAAGATCAATGGAAATGTTTAATTTTAAACGATATTTCGGTTATAGTGGTTTTTTTAATTACTGTAATTAACATAGCAATATCAGGTTTTGGATTTAGTATAAGCTCAAATATTTAATTTTGATTTGAAAGATCAATAACATTTATTATTTATTTTTATTTTCATTCAATGTTTATAAATAGGTCTATACTTAAATAAATAAATGCACTCACAGAAAAATTACAAAACAAATTTATTGCAACATTTTATACTTTCAACCGACATCTCTTGTGAATTAAAACCTTCTCAGCTTCGCATCGATGTTAAAAATAAAAACGGTAGCAAAGTGGGATCGAGGCACAGTGTAGACGAGGCATAGATGGGACAAGTATAGATGATATCTGACAGTGATTAAAATCACTATCATAAGAAACGCTTCGATGCAAATCTGTAGATAGTGTTTCATTTAGAGAAATTGGTGGGTTATTCCAAAAGCAACATCAACTCTTATTTCTTTAATTATATTCTGATTAGTAGTTCTTTGATTTTAAAATATAATATATGAATAAATACTAATTATA